GGTCGCTCACAGTCACGGACGGGCTCTTCGTTCTCCGCTGCCGAGCGAGCAGAGAGACTCTTGGCTTTGATCTCCCCGTCTTTGTACCTGGACAAGGTTCTCTTTCCTGTGGCGAAGGGGCCAAGCAGATGCGTGCCATGCTCGTCACTGCAACGTCGTCAGGTTTAGGGCAGGAGTGGTCTCGCATCAACGGGCACGGGGCCACGGGCCAAGCTTCCGTCAGCTCAGCTGCAGCCTGCAATACTAGTACTACTCGTATTCTGTACTGTATAAACAACATAGTTCGAACGGAAGACTCGGTTTGAGAGGAAAACGCATTGCAAGTTTAATTGCCAGACTAATTAACCATCCACACGGGCTCTAATCAAAATTTAGTCATCTATGGCATCCCATATTCCCATATAATCAGAATGTGCCACGTGTCATGCATATATGAATATATGATCGATTGGTTTCTTCCTCTCACTTTATTATTATTATCATCCACATTAAGTTTTTATGCCTTGTTTGAGCTTATATGACTTATAAGTCATCCTTTTTCAACAACTGAAATAGCTAGTCTAGATTTTCTGCTATTGGTCACAAATTATGGAGCAATGCAGATTTCTAGGTGATGTTTGATTGCTCCTCCTAAATTTTAGTAGGTGTCCATCGAATGTATATGCCACTAAACTCGAAATTACTGTGCTAATCCCATCACTCATCTGTGACTGTCACCACTAACCAGGCAGGAAATATATAGGCAAAATTTGCTCAGGGACACCACACCAACTTCCTGAACACCGCCACATTCAAAATATGTGGATGAAATCGGTTTTGACCACAGCACTGTAGCATTGGATTCTCTCCTGTGGCCTTTTCTAAACCTTTTGTTTTTTCTCCACGTCGTCTCCAATGGACATGGACACCTCACGTTCTAAGGATTGTTTCTGCTCGGGCTAAGATGCGTGGAGCATTTACCTGCCTATGGTCATACCAATGCTTGAGCATACCATTTACCTTATGCCCGTTTTTTTTCAACCAAAACAATGTTGACTAGGTATATTCAAGAAAGATCAAATAATAAAATTACAGTGATATGAAATAATAAATTTATAGATAAATGACATGCAAATATGTCAATCTCACTTGCATATAGTTTATTAGGACATTATACGGTACCTCACAAAAGGCATAGTACATAGATTCGTAATTCGATCATTCATGCTCATATGCGAATAACACAAAACAACTTACACAAGAACTAAAGTAACAAGTTAATAGCTTACACAATCATTTTATTTAGCCATTCATAAAAAAAATATCATCTTTAAACTTCAACATGTTATTCATATGTTACAAATTACATGTTAAATGAGTTAGTTGACATGATATAGATGACATATATTCATATAAATTCTCAATTTGACCTCAGATGAAAAAACTCTGAATACCACATCTCAGCATCTACAATAGCCGTGGATAAAATTTTATCACCCACAGCCTACCACATCTTTATAGACTTTACCGACCCTCATGTACCCACTTGTGAAATTTAATGCTATATGCTCTGTTAAACCACACAAATGAAAAGATTGCCATCCCTGGGGCGTCCCCAACGGGACTCAAATAGCTAGTCTAGATGAAGTGCTATTGGTCACAACAAGGATGGAGCAGGGTGCTAGCGACTGAGTCCTAAAAATGGTGTTTGAACCGTCCAAACTATCTCAAATTTTAAAGTTGACCAAAACAAGAATTGTAGATCTTGATGAGTTGAACAAACTTGGTATTCAAAACTTTTCAATTAAATATTTAGACTAATTAATACTAAACTAATTGCATAGTTTTTTTTAATTTGAGAGATTTGACTTGGTCAATCTTTTCAAATGCACTAATTAGTCAATGATTTGACAATATGGTTTGATCATCTCAGCAAGATATACAATTGTTACTAATGATGTATTAATTTGAGAAAGTTTTAAAACATTAGTCACAAATTCTTAAATCTCATACGATTATGTAATTTGTTTTTTTATTAGTATTTAAATACCTCATACAACGTCTTACCGACACACCTCCTAAATTTTAGTCACTGAATCTAACCACCACCTTCGACTCAGCACGTTTCTCCACGAAATCTCTCTCACAGCATTCACGGCTATGCACCCTCACGTTCTTTTTTTATTGTTTCTGCTCGTCCCGTAGCTAGCGATTTGTGCGGTATTGTTGTGGACGCTGCCTCCAATGGTTTAGCCAATAGGCTCGGTTCGGTTTATCTTAAAAGCCAGTTTTTTTTTTCAACCAAAACAGTGTTGACCAGGTATTTGTAAGACTGACTCCAACCATGAGACCAAATACAACACCTATATCTCGGTTTGAGTCCGGCACAGGGAAAAAAAGTCACCACGCAAAAGTGAGCCTCTCCAACCGACCGCAAACGCAAAACCCCCAAATCCGCCGGAGGTCGCCGCCTCGTCCATCCAGGACCGCGCCATGGACATCCTCGTCGTCGTCTCCGGCCTCCACGCCTCCACGCGCGCTCCTCCAACACCGGCAGCGGGTGCGGGCGAGCTCCGCCCCGGCGCGGAGGACACCGGATCCCTGCTCCCCGACGGCCGCGCCCCGCTCCCCTCCTCGCCGCGCGCTCCTCCTCCAACACCGGCGGCGGGCGCGGGCGAGCTCCGCCTCTGCCACGGCGCGGGCGAGCTCCGCCTCTGCATGGGCGAGCTCAGCGCGGGCGAGCTCCGCTTCTGCGCTGGCGAGCTCGGCGATTTGCGTAACGAGGAGAGAGGGGACGCTTTTTTGCCTGGCGTTCAGGGGAGCAAGCAAAATGCGTCGGGTGTATGGGTCTGCTGTTGGAGGACGTTTTCGAGAAGACAAAAAACTATGTGGGACGCAAAAAATAGGTCTGGGTCTCCTCATTGGAGACCATCTAAGTTGGCACTGAGGGGCCGGAACCGACACGCATAGGAGGCGTTGTTGTTTACTTTTTGACTGCTGGTAAAAAAAAAGTTCCATAAAACCTGCTCGCGTTCCGCCGCATCGATAACCGGACGGCTGGCAGTAGCAGCACCCAGCAGCACAGCAGCGACCAGCGAGGAGAACAGGGAGGAGGGGAGTTGCACCTTTTGGTGCTGCTAGGTGCTAGCTGTGGTGCTCTTTTTTTCTTGGGGTCCTGGGCAAGCCTCGGCTGTACGTACTCCTTGCCTCCTTGTGTTTGGGATTCATGGCGGTCCAGGTCCACCATGGACGGCGGCCAGATGGCTGTGCTCTCTCTGCTCTGTGGACTGTGGTGGTGAAACACTGCTGAAACCGGGACCTTTTCCTGCTGTTGCGTTGCGTTGCAATGCATTGCGCACAGTCAGCACTTTTTGGCATCATTTTGAGGGATCATGGGCCCATCATCACCGATCTTCTTATCCCTGACCCTGTGTTTGAACAGGTTTACAGGGCTAGAGATCAGCTCATCTGCCTGCCTATGTGTGGGGTGTGGCATGGCATGTCTGCTTCCTACTCGCAGTAGCAGCACACTGTTCGCATGTGCACATCAGGACAAGGTCGTCTCCAACTCGTTTAAAATGTTCAAGTGGAGTGGAGTGGGGGTAGGCATGTGAGTTGACAAAGAGCTTGGCTATGGCTAGTGCTTTCAGAAAGAGTAAAAGGCAGGAGTCCGTTCAGAAAGGACGGCGGCAAACAAGAAAAGACTAAAAAGGACGAGAATATGAATATGTTCTTGCCATTTGCATACACAGAGGATCTCGATGGAGACTTGCACCATGTTCGCTTATGCTGAAATTTGGCTTATGTCGATACTTATGTTGAAATATTGTGAGAGAAAACACTATTTTATGACTAAAAAGTAGCTCAAGCTAATAAGGTGTTGAATTTGGGATCAGCTGTCTCGGTGTCCTAATTGGCGCGACACGCAGACGCAGCCAAACAACACCGCAAATGAACAAGAGCAGGTATTAAATTCAAAGCCGAGGACTTGAAATTCAAACTGACCATCTTTGTACTACTACTCCACAAGTGATTTGTAGTGTTGTCCTGGTGTCATATGGGCTAGATGCTTTTTTTTTTTAATCCAAAGGGCAAGATGCTGAATCTACGAAAGGAGCTGTCGTCGATCCTGTTGTTTTCTTTATAGAAGGAATGGTCCCTGAAACCGTATGCTGGGCTGGGCTCCACAGTAAGCTAGGAGTACTTGGGCAATGGGCAGGGGCCGCAGGGCTGGGCTCGCAACGAGGCCTGTTATACATGCTGGGCCGGATCGTAGATCATCGTTTTTGAGCCAGATTATGCTGTGCCGGACCGACAGGGGCCTTAAGGCCCATATGCATTTTGTACCGGGCTATTTTCGAACAGTGACTGTTTTGAACTCTGCAAAGACCTTTGATTGAAATACATAAAACAGTCCATCCATAAAAGAATAAAATAGGAATCAGTGAATACAATTACACAGTAGTATATTCAAGGTGCTCGAATTTACAAGAAAGGAGAAAAGGTAAAGATGTCAACATGGTGTCATCTGCTGCTCTGAGTTCTGACGAAAAAAGAAAAGAAAAGAAAACCGCAGGGCAAAAACTATTATGAACAACACAGAACGCAGGGGAATTTTCTCCTTTTTTTCCACATTAGCTGAAGCAGATGACTGGCTAATAAACAACATCATCTCTTAAACTTAAGCAGGTAGGAATTTATTCGGCGTGTTCACTGGTCGGTTTCTGGGCTGGTTTGGGCTGGCTGGTACTGGTTTGTTGTGAGAGAAAAACACTGTTGGCTGGTTAAATAAGCCTTGCTGAAACAACAAGCGAACATGGTGATTATTACGAATCATGTTATACAGTACTTCGAGTAGTAGTATCTACACTGATCCAGGACAAGTCTAAGGCAGATGCAAATTCACAATTTCACATGCTCCCTATCACATTCTCAGCAGTGTTTGCGTGCAACAATTATAATCATGGATGGATTGAACGAAGATGGAGCCGTAGTATGTAGTAGACAAACTTGTCGTGGTGTCAAGGATCGAAGACGGCAGCGCCGCACCTGCACTTCCACCCGACGGGCTCGTAGTTGGCGCACAGCGGGCGGAGCCCCGGCTCCCGCTCAGCTGCGTCGCCGGCGCGCACCTGCACGGCCGTGCACGGCGCGCACGCGCCGCACTTGCGGTCGCAGCACGGCGGCCTGGAGCCCAGCCTGCTCAGCTGCTGCTGCTCAGCATGCCCTCCGCCATCGATCTGGCGGTCCTCTCCGACGTGCGCGGGCTCCTGTTGGCCGCCTGCATAGCAGGTTGGCACTGCTTCAGGTTCAGAGAACACAAAGCGTTATGGCAAAATGGAGGACCTCAGCGCACCTTGGGCCATGAAGACGAGAAGAGGCAGCACGACGACGACGACGAAGAAGAGGAGCAAGGACCAGGCCGCCCTGTGCTGCCACCGCAGACGACGGGCTGCGCCTGCACTCATCACGCAACGCCGCGGCGCCGGCAGCAAGCAAAACGGCTTGGCCAGCGCCCAGGCCCAGCAGAGGTCGCTCACGGTCACGGACTCTTCTCCGCTGCTAAAAGCTAGCAGACGCACGCAGGCCAGAGAGCTGAGCGAGCAGAGGCAGAGAGATTCCTGGGCAGGGCTCTCCCCTCTTTGTACCTGGACGACGACTGACGAGGTTCTTTCCTGTGGCGAAGGGGCCAAGCAGATGCGTGCCATGCTCTGCTCGGCTCGCAGTCGTCAGGTCAGGTCGCAGCGAAGCGAATGCAGCCGCGTGACTGCGAGGATGGCCTTGGCGCTGTGACCACGTCGTTGCTGACTTGCTGTCTCCGCGCAACGCAGCAACGCAACGCCCGGCGTCGGCGTCCGTCCCAGAGAGAGAGAGCCAGAGAGGTCGCCTCTACCCTCTCACAGTCACAGCACAGGCAGCGCTGTGGTAGCATCAACAGGCTAGGCGGTAGGGCGGGAGCGGATTTAGGAAATGGCGCAGGCTTTATCAGGCTGCACCTGCAGCAAAAAGTTGCGCTGCATGGAGTGGTCTCGCATCAACGGCACGGGGCCACGGCCCACGGGCCAACCTTTCGTGAGCTCAGCTGCAATGGCCAATGGGCAATGCTACGTATAAATTAAACAAATGATTAAATAATTAAGAAAAAGAAAGGAAAAACTCCTAAAACTATGTTACACGCTCATGAAAAAGATCGATAGCTAACACGTTAATTGAGTCTTAAACTTTGACAGTCTAAAATATGTTACACGCTAACATATTGTGTACTATGTGCGTTATGCTAACTCGATTAAAACTATGTCACATATCTAGGAGGACCTAAATTAAAACACGTTGCACGCAGCTAATTCACGTTGGGAACGGAACACGCTACAACGTTGCAAAATTATAGCACATACAAGGGAATAAAAAGTTACATGCTATTCAAATTATGACACGTACCTTAGCTGTCATGGCAATTATACTAATCAAATTATATCATGTCCCAAAGTTGCAAAATAAAAAAAGACTTAACATATCAAATAGATCACGCATGCAACAATTAGATATAGAAAAAGATTTTTTTATATCTAAAACTTCCTTATTTATCCTATTTTATCAAATTTAAAAATAAGCAAATATACATTTCACCTATTACCTTCTAGGAAATTCAGAGTAATAGATGATGGATCTCATTAAATGGACGGCTCATAGTTATTGGGGATACCAAAGCAAAGCCCATGGCTAATTCTAAGGTAGTATATTTTATAGAAAATATGTGGTTTAAATGGAAGACTCACGGTTTGAGAGGAAACCGCATTTCAAGTTTGATTTTTATAAGAGTAGTTAACCATCAATTGATCCACACATCCGCTCTAATAGGATTTTTTAGCCATCCATGCATGCACCCCATCTAATCAGATTTTGCCACGTGTCACGCATATATGGATATATGATTTTGACCGAAATACATATGAATATATGATCGATTGGTTTACTTTTGTTCCTATTATCCTGCTTTGTATCCATCGGCTAGACTTAGGCCCTGTTTGGATCCATGGGCTAAAGTTTAACTTACCCGTTTTAGTTATCTTTTAGCCCTCATGATCTAAACAGAAGTGCTAAAAGTGGAGGCTAAACTTTAGCCCATTCCTTTTCCATTAGCCCCTCCCAGGTGGGCTAAAGATGGCTAAAAGTGGTCCCTTCACGGTAAAAGACGCATATTACCCTCATCCACCATCTTTTAGTCCTTGCATGAGTATTAATTAGGGGCAAATAGGTCATGGTAGGGTACGCGGCTAATCTTTAGCCCCTGGATCCAAACAGCTCCATGGGCTAAACTTTAGCTCTTTCGTTCTAATCTTTAGCCCCGGGCTACATATTAGTCTCATGGATCTAAACATGACCTTACTAGGTGTGCGCCACACCTTCACTCGCCACTGACTTGGCAGGAAAATTATGGTGAAAACCGCATCTTATGTGAAAAATTTATGGAAAGATTGAAGCTAAGCCCTGCTTAGATCTCATGGTTTAAAGGGCTAAACTTTTAGAGCATCTTCAAAGAACTCTTCATATCCTTCCTAGATGCTAGGAATAGAGGTTTTGGTGAAAAACTACCCTCCAACAGTTTCTCCAAATGGTCATCCAAATATAGCCATATTCTATTCTGGATTTTTCGCTAGCCAAAAATAGAAGACGAGAATGACTCTCTAGAGTACGCATGAGATATAGAAAAACTGTTGGAGGGTAAAAAGATAAAGCGATTTTTATCTAAATGACTCTCCAAATGATAATTTTGAGAGTGAGATTTAGAAATGCTCTCGGAGATGCTCTTAGCCAAGTAAAATTTAACCATTAACTAGGTATCAGCCCGTCCGTTGCGCCTAATTTAAACGAAATACGTAGAATGCGTAATAAATATTATTATTAGATGCAATTTCGTTTTGGCAAAAAAGGAAAAAAGACCACAATATCAACCTTCTATCAGTGTTATCCTAAACGCTAAACAGTCGGTCACCTACCGTTTAGCCCATTATTTAGACAAAACGGGTGATTAAACGGAAAAAACGGACATTTAAACGGTCAAAACAATCGATTAAACGGAAACGGTATACCACCGTGTAGCATTTAAACGGTGTGTAAACGGGCTAAACGGCCGTTTAGGTGAACAGTGCTTCCTATACGAAAATTTGTTTCAACCTTCCTAGACCAATTTCCAATGGAGAGGGAGTACTAAATCGCGGTCGCCGGCCATGAGAACTCGGAGGTTCGGAATGTCGCTGGGCAGCGGCGGCGGCACCAAGTTCGGCGTCGTTCACAGCCCTGATGTCTCGCTAGCCCAGTAGTCCTCGTTGATGCGATCCACGGACGGGTCGCCCAAGGCCAGAAGCAGAACCTGCTACCTTCCGCCTGGGCTTCTCATGTTCTAGAAGACTCATTACGTGGCCCAATAGGCCGAACAGCGGTCCAACTGTTCGTTTCGTGTAGTCGCAGACTAATCTTCTTCCTCAGTTAGGTAGCTTATGCGGTACCCTATTCGGTTCCTATTTGCCAGCAGCCGAAATTATCAACGTAAATTCGGTTCTTTACCTTAAAAAACCATATTTATCAAATTACCTGAAATGTTCTGAGTTTAAGTGTTGTTATATTATTGATGGTACTATTGTAGACTATTATATTATGTATTTGTGGTACTCACTCTTATAGTTTTATGGACTTTATATATATTTATTTATTTTGCACTATTATTCTTTATGAAATCATGTCAAAATTAACTTTTGAACCTGTTATTACATGTCTCTGTGATCAATTCGATACTGTTCGGTAAATACTAAAAACGAACCGATCCGTACCTATTTTCTAAACAACCAAATTTCTGTGGGAACCTAAGTGGGAACCTAAGTACCGAACCGATCGGTTCGGTATTGAAAAACAGAAGTGCAGGTAGCCCGAGTCTCGCCATCGGGAGGTCACCGTACTGTTGGATCGACCTCTATCCTCCACAAGCCATGCCAGACCCTTTTCTTTTTCGAGTGAAGTGAAGAGGGATCTTCGTTAATTGCTCAAAACGCCATTACAATCACGAGCAGCTAGCCGACACACGCGGGAATTTGACTACGCCACACTGTGACTACTGCCATTACAATCTCCAGTACCGATTTACACCTAGTATATAGTTAGTAGGAGTATATGTTCTGCATTAATACTATACAAGCACAAGTGAGCATGATTACGATCTCTATGCGGCCAACAGATTGACCATGGAGAATATCAGCCGACGCTAAAACTGTTAGCACCAGGGGATCATCAGCTACCAAAATGGCGGGACAGAAACAGAACCCATGTTTCCTTTCATCTCCGAGGCCGGACGGCTCCGATCGAAGTCGTCGACGAGGAGGAAGATGACCGGGCCGACCTGTCGTTCTCCTCCTTGTCCTCGCTGAATGCCTTTTGAACCAAGTCATGCAGGTCATGGAACCTCCTCTTCTTCTCCGTGGATGTGTCTCGCCTAAGGGAAACCAGCTCGGTTTCGTCATCCATGATCTTGTCGAGCACTTTTGAACACCGTGGGAAGAAACGCTTCCCGAGTTCCACTGGTACACAGAATTCAGCTTGCGATTAGTCCAGGTTCAATCAGAGAAACAAAAAAGCGACAGTGTGCCTGCCTACAGCTTCCAAGCAATGGAGACATGCAAGACTAGTACCCAATTTAGTAATTCGAGGTTAGATCAAAACTGTACGTGAGTACATTAAAATGTACACCTTCAGGCCAAATATATATCGTTGTCTGTCCTTGATTCACATAGTGATTCAGATCTAATGATTTTTCAATGTAATTTAATTTACACGATTTCTATAAAGCCCTATAGGCATTTCAAATATCAAACCTAAGCTTTCCATCACTACAGATATGCTGAAGAAGTCAATAACAGTACATTCAAAATAAAGTGCTGTGGTTAAAGAAAGAGGGAAGCTGAGCGTCACCTGTTTTGGATAGGGCTCTCATCCGAGCCAAGTTCTCTTCCTTCATTGTGAAAGGAGTATCGTTCAGGTCAACTGTCCGCTGAATCTCGGTAGGCAGATTAGCATTAGAACCAAGGGTAAATTCCAGGGTTCCATCAACTTGAGCAATGTCCATCGCAACCCTTGCCTCCATGGGAAACAATATCCTCGCTAAAGCAACTGCATAACATTAAAAAAAAGGACACATGAAGACAGAAGCATGGAAGGCGCTAGTTACTCAAATAATCGCTGACAAAGAACAGTGTTATCTGTTCAATACCGTACCAGCCACATCTGAAGTTCTGAACAAATTATTCTGAAAAAAACATGGCACTGTACACATTTTCCAAAACAAAGATTACCTCGGTTTTCAAGGTAGAGCAACCTTCCACGTGCAGAGTCTCCTTCTATCGCAAGAGAAACTGATGCTTCTCCAAGCTGTGGATCCCTTCTTTCAGCTTGCTCTAGTATCTCGATACATAATCTATCTTTAGGAGAAGGCTTTCCGTCCTCAGTAGGCCCAAAGTAATCCCCATGCTTTGTAAGTCGTTTAGAGATCTGTACTGCTTTTCTGTGATCAAATGTGAGATCTGATGGCCGAGCTCCCTTGGTCAAAAGAGAGACGATGATTTTAGGTTCCCTTCTCATAGCAGCAATGTGAAGAACCGTATAACCTCTTGGGTTCCTATGATTAACATCTGCAAGTGCGAGATCCAGAAGTTCTACTGTGATCTTTGAGTCGCAATGTTCGACAGCATAGTGTAATGCATATGCATCATCAAGATTAGTTTTTCCTTCCTTGAGTAGCATTCGGACTAGCTCCACGTCATCAGAATCCAGCGCTCTGTGTACTCTTCTTACATGTATGTTAGGGAAGCCCTTGTCCTCTGGCGAAACTAATCCAAGACTTAGCCTTGCATCAACAATTTCTTTGAAAACATCTGGAGGCAACGCCTTCTCAAGAGCAATCATATCAAGATTTGACCGAACTACTACATCAAAGCATCTCTCAAGCAGTTTCACACAAGATTTGTTGCATAAGTTGGCAACAGACAAGATCAATGGGAGGTTGTCCACTTCAACCTTATCAAGGACATCAAGGAGACGCCGCTGCAGGGAGAACCACGTGGCTCAGTAATGGCATGTTAAAACAGAAAAATTCATAAACAATTACAGCGATACTAACACATACTAAGCAAGAATAGTAAACGGCCATGCCTGCACATCAGTGTCACTTGTATAAAGCAACAGTGGGGAAAAAGCAAGAAGCACCAAATATCGACTGATCTTATCAGGGATTCTTGAGAAAGAACTAAATACACAGTAAAATATACCAGAATACATAAAAACAGCTCCAGGTCCCTTACTGATATTTGCCTAAAATCACTATCAGAAATGGGGAAGCAAGTAGATAAGGAGTACTTGTGTTACTTTCTTCATAGTGGAGTGAAGAAGCTCTTAGTAAACAGCAAATTTTGTATGCAAGGTATTTCACCATAACCTACAGAATAGCTCATGATCAGAAATTCGCTTGCTTCTTAGACCGTTTTATTTTCCTTTATAGAGATAACCAATTTGGGTTTGTTTGAACTACTACTACAAATAAGGACCCAGATGGTAACTTTTCAAGTATCGCGCTCCATAGATGGTTGCATCATCTTATATCTATACACACGGTAAGAATTATGTGGAACAACTATGATGGCTTCTTTTGTTTGTACGTTTATCCTTTCTGTATATAGGTGTAAACTATCGGTATCCCAGCAGCCCACAATAGATAGTGCAGAGTTTGAGGTGTTTCTACTCAGTACTCTACAAAAAGTTAAAAAAAAAGAGTGAACAGCTTCATCATATCTTCATCACAGTTATTGCAAGTTACCCAACAACACATCTTAGGTTAGGGGAATTCGTGAACCTGGAGCGGAACTTTAGCCTGTAAAATACATTTATCCAGATAGTTTCGGATCCAACTGAACTTGGACCAAATGGGTCAGTCGTTCAGACTTTCAGTGCGTGGTTTGAACTGACTGATGACTTATGGTGCAATAGCGCTGTTTATGCGCACGTGCAAGCAGCTGTCAAATGCGCACGACTCAACTTGTCCTGGTCTACATCTAGAAGTCTAGAGCTGTTTACCAATGATTACACTATCAGCACGAGCTTACTGTCACTATAACAGGCAAATTTGGATGATTAACAGTGTTTTGCATATGCAATGGAAAAACAAAAGACGTTTCATCCGAGGGGCATGTGCAAAAACAGTATGCGAAAGAGACTTTTCACTGTGTGCCATTATAAGAGATTGTAATCCTCTCTCGTGCCCTGGAAAAATTCAGCGGTCTTCAGTGCCACTGCTTCAACTTTTTCGGGTCCTCCATGCCACTTCCGTTAGTTCAGGCTCTAACGCCGTCCAACTACATGTGTGAAAAGACGAAAATGGCCTTAAGTTCAAATATGTTATTAAATTTTTTTTGAGCATCTTAACGACTTCAAATGAAAAAAGTCAAAATTAGAAAGTTGTAGATCTCGTCGAGATCTATAATTTTCATATAAAAATTATTTTCATTAAATTCGGCAAAAAAATATGATGATTTTTCTAAGATATATTAATCATATCAAATCATATTTTTTTACGGAATTAAATGAAAATAATTTTTATATGAAAATTATAGATCTCGACGAGATGTACAACTTTCTAGTTTTGAGTTTTTCCATTTGATGTCGTTAAGATGTTCAAAAAAAATTAATAACATATTTAAATTTAAGAGCATTTTCGTCTTTTCACACTTGCAGTTTGAAGACTGAGAGCCTGAACTGACGTAAGTGACATGGAGAACCCAAAAAAGTTGGAGTAGTGATGCTGAACACCGCTGAACACCGCTGAATTTTTTCAGGGACACGTACGGGATTACGGGTGTGATCTTCGTTTGCCGCTTCAAGCAGCATCTGCGTGCGCTGCTCAACGGACGACCAAAGTTTCGTTGCAAGCCACCGATTAATGGCAAGAACGCATCCGCAATCAACACGCATAACAGAAACCGCGAAAACTAAAAAGGCGCCATGAATCGCTGCCCAGGTTAGCTAACAGGGGCGGCGCGGCGCGGCGTGCGTGGCGTGACAGAGTCAGAGAGGGTTCGGAGGGAGATGGAGGCGGACCTGGAAGAGGTTGGTGAGCTCGGCGACGTCAAAGGTGGACGCGGCGAAGAGGACCTGCGCCATGAAGGCGACGGCGGGGCGGCAGCCGACGTGGGCGCAGGCGTCCTCGTCGACGCAGAGGCAGGCCGCCTTGGGCAGGGCGGCGACGCGGCCGCTGTAGAGGTAGTCGAGCACCAGCCGCAGCGCCTCGTACCCGACCTCGACCTCCTCGCCGAGGAGGTCCCGGAGCTCCACCTTGCCCCAGTCCTTGCCCTTATCCTTCTCCTCGCCGGCGCTGGCAGCGGCGCGGCGCGCAAAGACGTCGCGCAGGAAGGGGCTGCGCGCGCAGAGCACGCAGCGGTGCACGCGGAGGTCGGGCGCGCCGGGCACCGAGATGCGCGCGTCGGAGAGGAAGGCGAAGTCGTCGGGGGAGCGGAACGCCGCCGCGAGGTTCTCGGAGAGGCGGCGGAGCGCCTGCAGGTCGGCGTCCGCCGCGTCGGCTGCGGCGGCGCCCTCGACGGAGCCGCTGTCGGAGTCGGAGAGCGCGACGGCGGTGAGCTGGCTGTCCATGGGCTCCATTGGCTGGGCGCGGCGCGCGGCAGGCGTGCCGGTCTGCCGGAGATGGTGGGGAAGGCGCAGCGACGAAGTCGAAGCGAGCTAGCGAGCGAGGAAGGAGGAATGGGGCGCGGGGAAAGAGACGGATTTATGGCATTAGTAAACGGCTGCGACTGAGGTGGCAGATGGGGGAATGTTCCCATTTGATCCCTTTCCTTCTTGCATTTTGGAACCAGATCCTGTGGCTGTGGTTGACCAACCTATTCTTTATCACTTTCTTGCATTAAGGGCCTCTTTGGTTTCTTCCCCTCCTCCTAAAATTCCTATCACATCCAATGTTTAGACATATGTATGGAGTATTAAATAAACCAGAGACATTTCTCCTTTCTGACTAGGATTCACAAAATGTGAATCTGACTAACGGCCTGTTAAACTTGGTCGTAACGATCGTAAATTTCCAGCCGAACAATATTTTTCTCTCACATAACTTGCGACTTTTGCGAGATGAATTTTTTAAGTCTAATTAATTCACTCCATGATTTGTTCCTACATTTTCCATTTACGACGGTGCTTGTCTTATGAGCCGTTATGTTTCAGAAACATGTGCTAATGATAGATTAATTAGGCTTAAAAATTTCATCTTTTGAAATTAGTCTCCATCTATGTAATTGGTTTTACTAATTAATTTATATTTAATGCTCCCCACTTATTAGCCTCTCAAAATTTTGATGTGATCATAAATTTTAGATTGTTGCATGCATGGAAGAACCAAACACCCCCTAAGCCTTCTTTGTCTCTTGAGCGATATTGCTCTAGTAGAAGATCTTCCCCTCTGTTTTCCTAGGATTAGTACCGTATTTTATTAGGTTACGTTTGTCAAGGATCTTGGAATCTCCGTTACATGAGAATCTCTTACGAGCATTATTTCTGGTGAGTGATTTGAATCAGAAACCAGAGACATTTCTCCTTTCTGCACTAGGACGAAGAATCAAGCAAAACTGTAGCATCTGAAATAAGTGACTAACGGTCAAATAACGGTACCAAACGGCCCTAGATCTCTTTACGATCGAGCTCAAAACCAATCGTAAATTTCCAACCGAACACGTGTTTTTCTCCGGGACACCAAACGAAACTGTAAATAAAAAGAAGAAACACGGACGATCCAAAAAAAGTACTACTACTAAGCTTGCCCTTCCACGTAAACAAAAAACACCAAGATATGTTCCACTCCGGTCCGGGGCAGTGGCGGCTGTAATTCACTCCAACATTTGTTCCTACATTTTCCATTTGCGACGTCTCGTTGGGACTTTTTGCTTGCACTTGCTTGTCTTATGAGCACCCCAGCCACGAGTGCGTGGCCGTGTGGCGCGTGCCCTAGGAACCCTGTTTTTCTCTCACAACAAATTAGGCGAGGAGCTACAAGATACGTACGGTACGTAGCCAGGCAGAGCTTTTTTAGTAACAAATGGTGCAACGGTCCCAGAACCATTTGCTTAACATTTCCTACCCTAGCTCTTGATTTCACCCATCGGTAATCTTTGAAGACTTCAGAAGGCAGCTTCAAGTAACTTTCTTCATGGAAATTCTTGTTTTACTCAGCTAGAGTATTTGAGCAGTTAGAAATATATTCATCTTTGAAGGCTTACAACCCACTCAAGGAGCGACCAAACAAGTTTTCCATCAAGAATTTGCCATGCGGTTATCCACAGAGCAGAGAAGAAATACTTTCCTTCAATTGTTGCATGCATGGATAGACACTCCGTTGTAATTTTCTTTATTTTCTTTCTCTCCTTCTTTGTCTCTTGAGCCATTGTACAACTTCTTTTACCTCTTACCTTTTCAATAAGTTTATAGTAGATGTTTTCCCCTCCTGTTTGCCTTTAAAAAGTTATGACAACCATTCAACAAGGAAATGATTTCACAAAAATGGTTCCGGCTATTATGGCATGTTTGGATATCATGGACTAAACTTTAGTCATCAAGACTCTAGGCTAGGTGTATCCAAACAAGTGGATTAAAAAGAAACTAATTTTAAGTTTCCAAATCATTCATTAGTTTATTATAGTTGGCAAATGATGTAGACTAATATGGAGTAAAAGGTGCACATGAATCTTATATCTAATCAGCGCTAGCTAAATTTCAAGTGACTAAACTTTAATTCTGGTTGATCCAAACAAATCCTTAGGGCAGACTGTTTCAAGAGAGAAACTGCTAGATCTGAAATAAGTAACCGCAACCAATTCAAATAACCGTACCAAACGGCCCTAGATCTCTTTACGATCGAGCTCAAAACCAAATCACTAGTAAAGTCACCCCGTGCGTATCTCGACACGTGTTTAATTCGCCGGGAGTCCGAAGGACGAAACTGTAAATAAAAAGGAAGAAACACGGAGCGAGAGAAAAAAGTACTACTAGAAAGCAGCTTGCCCTTCCACGTAACAACAAAACACCAAGATATGTTCCACTCCGGTCCGGGGCGGTGGCGGCTGGACGGACGTGGTCAGCGCGTGATTTGTGACTGTACGCCGGGCAGTGGACTCTTCCGTGCACAACAGTGCCACCCGGGCGGTGCATGCTTTTGCTTGCACTTGCACAGCAGTACACCACCACCCCAGCCACGAGTGCGTGGCCGTGGCGCGTGCCCTACCCTACCCTACCCTACGTGGCTACGTCGTTTACTCGAAACAAGGCAGGGAGCTACAAGATACGTACGGTACGTCCGCGTCGGAGGCAGAGCTTGTTTTAGTAACCGTGCACCGGTGCACGGTCCCAGAACCATAAGTTGCTGTGTATGGGCACAAGGCACGTAGGGTTAGCACTAATCTAAGGGCGTCCCGTGGTTCTCAAATAGCTACTCTAAAAAGAATTTCATTAGCTATTAAAAGAGATCAAATAGCTAGCGACTTTCAAGTAACTAGTCTAATATGATCTCTTCGAAATATCTCTCTCACAGCTCACGTAACTCATCGCTATAGTATTTATTTTTATTATTTCTATGTCTCGTCCACCTGGCTATTTCTAAATTGTCGCTGCGGACGCCCTAAGAGGAGCATGCATGTTTGTGTGTCTGATGCGATCGAGACAGTTCAGGTTGGCCGCTCTGGACCACATTTGACCGGCTGGCCGGGTGAGACTGCAGTGAGATTTATTTCTTTTTATTTATTTACCGGCGTATGCGCCAACTACTACTACCTACGTACACCGTACTTGGCTCATCAACGTGTCGGGGGCTATGTATGTACCACTTGCAATGGAATCTTGTAGCTTCTTACTATTTGGAGTAGCCTAGTACGCGTAGCTGCACATCTTTGATATGCCACATCCCACCCAACCTCGTAGCACCTATTTGGCTAATATGTTTGTATTATTATTAATTCATTTATGTGAGACTTGCATGGTAGTATGCTTACTTGATGGCCTATACCTTGGCGCAACCTTACGTTTAGGCTAGACACACGCTTCTTTGCTATATTTCATTGCTTATTACCTCTACTACGCTTGCTACATTGATGCGTGGTGAAAATTGGTGTTATCTAGACTATGGGGAGAGTCTTTGCGTGTGTGTGACTTGGGTGCGTGAAGGGTGAGGTTGAGTCGACCAAGTTGGAATATCTGACGAGCCAAGGGCAAGTCTTGCAGCAGGTGCTACCTGGCACCCCGGAAATGGATACCTGTGGTGGGTAAATGGTATATGAGGTGGCCACTGGTGTGAACTCCAGGTGGAGGTCTTGGTACAAAATGGAAACCACATGAAGACATTACGGCTTGGTCATCCCTAGGACTTACTAGTACTCAGATTCACCAGAAGCCTTACATACCACTCGCCCTATATGGTGTGGGGACGCGGACTACTTGGTAGGATATTGCCACCTCTTGCTAGGTTGATAGCCGGACGGTGTGAGGAGGTGCAGGCGCGGAGGATTCCCCCACCCTTTCCGAGACTTCATGGAGACCTTATGGACCCGGCTCATGACTCACAGTTTGACCACCCCAGGACTAGACTTGGGGTGTACCAGGTGAATGGTTGAGTGGCATTATCCTAGGCTACTGAGGCGGAATCGGCCCGATTGACGACGAACGGTCGGCGAGGAAGGTGGATCTTGTGGTTCCACCTCTCTGAGTGTATGGTTGATCGATCGATACATATGCCGACTTGCTTATCGGCTATGGACCTTTCCCTGGGTTTCGCTTAAACTAGATAGTGAGATGAGTCTTTCTCTTCTCCCCACCGTGAGTGAGTGTTCGGTGGTGTGCTGGGGTTACGGGCCATGAGACAAGCCCAGAGGGAGTTGGCTTCAATCGGTGGCGCGATATTATGGTGGTGATGTGGTGATGGTGTGGAGAAGGTGGTATATCGATCCCAGGATCGAAACCTTGCTCTGGACAGAAATGGGGTGGAATAGATGTGGGAATGGTGTTAAAACTTGACCAACTATTATTATATACTTGATATGCTAATACATAGAAAACCCCAAACCTTATAGGTTCCTTTTGATTATATCCAACTTGCATCCAATTTCCACAAAGCAATGCTCATAGGATGGGAGTGGCGGCGGCGTCTTGATAAACTTTGCACTGAGTTCTGCTACGAGGAGTATAGCTCGAGGAGTTTGAGGGTTGAGGGGTTCGTTCTACGCTCGAGTTTGGCGATCTTATCTTCAAGCTGTTACGAATGAATGCTACTTTTGATTCCGTCTGATGATGTAATAATTTATGTAATTCCGCACTATTTGTACTACGATATTACATTGTATGGATGTGATATTCAACTGGAATTTGGGTAATATGATCTATAACGGTCTTATTACACTCGACTCTGTGGATTTTCCTTGGCGGAAATCAGGTCGTTTCCGCCATTCACCAAGCGCCCCATCGCCGGGCCTCTCCCTTCTCTACCTCAGGGTCTCTAGCTCCGCCCACGCCCGCCTCGAGCTCTAGCTCACTTGCTTGCTTGTCGGCCCTCTCCTGCTCCTGTGGGCGACCTTGAGCTTCACCCACCTTCCTTTCATATAGAGAGAGAGATAGGGAGTTGCCAGAAGGAGGAGGCCCGGGATAAGGAGAAGAAAAGAAGGAGAAGGAAAGAAAAGAAAAAAAGAAAGAAAAATGAAGAGAAAAAGAAAAAAAAAAAAATATATAAGGGTATTTTGGACATTTCACATCTTCTTTACACTAGGAGAAGCCGTTTTGCCAAACGTTTTAAATACAAAATAAGCCCGAGCCTTTGCTTTGTTTTAAGAGCTGTTTTTCACGCCGAAAAAAAAATCGCGGGCCCTAAATAAAATCGTATTCAATAGCCCTTTGCATTTGACTTGAATTTATTATACCTGGCTTTGCTAGAGCAACAGTGCAGCAGCAGTACTGATATATAATGGGGAAAACATCATTTGTTGTAAGAGAGAATTATCTATTTAACGCTGAAACAAATTATTCTTTTGTATTTAGCATTTGAAATTTTGAACTTTCTTATCTAGCATCAATTTGAAATTTTCTTCCGTAAATGGCACTTCCGTCTATTTTCACCATCCATCTGTTAGTTGACTGGTTTGACCTTGTCAGTTTGGTTTCCATATGCCCAATATACCCCTCTGTTACTCACGCGTCCAATTTAGCCAGGCCTAGGATCCCGTGAGCTTCTTCCCCGTGCGGAGCCAGGCCGCAGCACAGTCGCGGTGGCGGCGGGCGAGTTCACGGGCCGGAGCTCGGCCAGCCTGCGCCATGGCGGAGGCGGCGCGGCCCTCCGGCCAACACGTGATGTGGCGGAGGTGGCGTGGCAGCCTCGCCAGCCGATGGCGGTGGCTCCTTGCGCACCCGGCGGCCACACATAGCGCTGCATGCTCACCTAGTTCAGCACGAACCGCGACACGACACCGACGCCGCTGTTGCTGCCTCCCATCAAGAATGTGTAGTAGACGTCGCTGTCGCTCACAACGAACTCGAACCGGAAGTCGCTGTTGTTGGGCTCCATCTCCGGCTTGAGGCTGAACTGCAGCCCATTCCGGTACATGGGCATCGTGTCGGCGCCAGTGTTGCTCATGGTCTAGGAAGTGGGAAGTGAGGCCCATGTACCAGGTGCCTAGGAACCTCATTGTCGAGCTAGCCGCGGAGAGGGGAGGATCAGAAAGTACTACATAACAGAGCTAATGGCGGCCGCACACCCGCATCCATTGACTATAATGTAGTGCTGACTAATGTGTACTGTTACCTTAAAATTTGAGATTTATCGATTACTCCCTCCGGTTGATTACTCACTCCGATTTTCTAAACAACGTCGTTTTGAGATTGTCTTAAGTCAAACATTTTAAACTTTAATTACAAATAAATTTTTTTTTGGGTTGAGTTTGAAAATATGAAAGTGATGTAAGTAGATTCATCTCGAAATGTAGTTTCATAAAAGTATATATTAACTATATTTTATAAATACTTTATATCAAAAAGTAATGGTCAAAATTGTTTTTTTTGAGATCGTGTCGCTGTTCAAAATGACATCCTTTAGAAAATCGGAGGAGTATTTATTTGCACTCTCACAAAATCTCATATTTTAGTTTACAAGTATATTTGTAATATTTATGATTTTCTTATTTGACAAACTTTTCATTTATTCTTTCCTATTTGGCACCATGGACTTCTACTACAAACAAGGGCACTTATGTCATTTTGCAAGCCACTTAACATCATTACCGGTGAAAATAGACGGTAGTGCCATTTACGGAAGAAAAATTCAACTTGGTGCCAGATAAAAAAGTTCAAAATTTTTAGTGCCAAATATGAAAGACCGATTTGTTCCAGTGCCAAATAGATAATTCTCTCTTGTTGTAATTGTAGCATGCATAGTAACTACCAAAATGGGTTGCTTGATTGTCTGTGGCTTCATGTGTCAACTATTGGATTAGGGTTGTCCCATCCATCCATGGTACATACTCAAGAACTCTAGATGCTTTTAGCTTTGTGATTTGATGAGTTCGTAGTAGTGGAGAATGTACTTTTCCTTGACTTGAAATATGACTAGGGCTATATATGTAGCATCATATCCTTTATGGCTTCCTTTATATATAAGGTGAATCTGAAAGTATTTCTAGGCGTAGATCCGTGGGTAATACTTAGCTTAGATGGGAGACTTGGTGATGTACCTCGTCATGGCGCGGCGCGACGCGCCTCTAGTGCCACAGACGAGGTAGCAGCGTATTGGTCACTGGGGTCGAAGTCGAGGAAGCCACGCAGGCGTGGTCTAGTGGTGGCGACGAAGGTGATGGCGCTTCCCATCGTTTACAGCGCGCCCTCACTAGATCGGACTAGGGTTAAACTCGGTGGGGAACTAACGACTGCTGTGAACCTCGTACCTCGAGCCCTAGCCCCCACCTCCTATTTATTGCGTTGTGCGACAGGGCCTATCAGCAAGAAGAACGGCTGGGCGCCTCCGATCATGACGATGATCAAGGGCCCAATTGGCCGTTGGGCCCACTTAATGGAGATCAACCTAACATTTTCCTCCTTGTCTCACCTTATAACTTAAACTTAGTTTACTTTATCTTTTTTCATTCCATCATAGATCAGTGCATAGAGCGTGCCTCATCATCACGGTCAATTACCATTAGATTTAACAGCTATAATGCACCTCTCTATTTTGAAACAGATACTCAACTAGGCCCTTAGTATCCAGAAATCATAGGCTTTCCCGTAAACCCATGTTGACTGTGTGTTCTTTGAACGCACTGGGTGGTAAGCATTTAATAAGCGGATCTACAAATACTTACTCGGTACTTATGTGCTTAATGCTTTTAAAATGATTCTGGATTTTGTCCTTTATAACATATAACTTAGTGTCAATGTGTTTGGCAGCACACTTGACCTGTTGTCTTAGGAGTTAACTTACTTTAAATGGTTATTGTTGTTGGCTACCATTGTTAAATTTGGGTACAAATTCCCTTAACCTCCTTTTACCTGTTCCTTAAGCCTCATGTCAAGCTATACCATGGTATGCATCACTGATGACACCACAATTGTTTCTTTAGAGCTTTTCCACAATAATACTCCAACTGCGAGTGTTAGCAACTACTGTTGATTTCACTACACATCTTGTCAAGACTTAACATTTATACCCTCAACTATTTGAGAGTACTTATTCTTTCTTACCCAGCATGAGGCCTATGATACTTTGCAAAATTGCATGACATTCTCAACTCCATTCCAATGATCTATATCTGGACTGGACTTCTACCAAAATATTCGGATACGTAAACTACGTCAAGGTAATTTCTTACTTGTACTTGTACACTCATCAAGCTTCCAATAACTAAAGCATATGAAACCATGTTCATTTGATCGATCTTATATCGGTTCTAGGAACACTTAAAATTCCCAAATCTATTACCCTTGACTATAGGAGCAGGCGTAGGTTTACTCGCATGCATACTTTATTTCTTTAGAATCTTTTCTAAGTATGTCTTTGCGATAGTCCTAATACCCCATTTTCTTCTATCTCGGTAAATTTTGATTCCTAGAATCATTGACGCTTTACCAAGATCATTCACATTGAAACTTGAGGACAAACTTCTTCTCCAATGATAGATTAACATCACTACTAGTGAGTAAAATGTCATCTATTCACAGGATGTGGAAAATGAATTTTCCATTCTTGAACTTCGCATAAACGCTATTGTCCTTCTCATTTTCTTTAAAACCTAAACTTTCTTATCATTTCATCAACTTCAAATACTACTGTCTAGAGACTTACTTTTAACCCATAAATGGATTTCTATAGACGTCATCCCATGCATTCTTTTTCTTCCATGACAAAACCTTTGGGTTGTGCCATGTTAACGTTTTCATACAAATTCCCGTTGAGGAATGCCGTCTTCACATCCATCTGATGTAACTCTAAATCGTAATGTGCCAATAACACCATTTTGATTCTAAAGAATCCTTACATGAGTCTGGAGAGAAAACTCTCATCGTAATCTATTCATCCTCTTTGCGTAAAGCATTTTGCTACAAGTCATGCTTTATATCTTTCTATATTTTCTTTGGAGTCATATTTTGTCTTGTAGACCCATTTATAGCCTACTGTTTTTGCTCCATTAGGAATTTCATCTAACTCCCAAACATCGTTGGTATTCATTGAATTTATTTCAACTTCCATAGCTTCTTGCCATTTAAACGAGGAAACGCTTCTCATGGCTTCTTCAAATGAGGTGGAATCACCCTCTATTTGAATTTTTTACTAACATAGACTTAATAGTCATCAGAAAAACTAGTTTACTAATTCTTTGAGACCATCTAGGATCTCAGCTACTGACACTTTCATATGAGGTTATTGTTGCTCTTCATTGTCAAGAGACAATTAATTCTACAGGCTTCTGTATTACAAGATCCTTGTTTACATTATTCATCTTCTTCGAAGATCTAACAACATGTGTTGTATTAGTCATACAACATCAACAGGTATTGAGAAACTTATTGCTCCTAAGTCACTGGAGTGGACACGCGTACCTCTTCTCTTCAAGTCTTAGGTCTCTACATATCTCTACATGCCATGCTCCCCCAGATCTTCTCATCTTTTCTAAAGATAGTGTATCTTCAAATATCTTATTTTGGGTTTAATTTGTTAAAACCTCATATGACGCTTTAAGCACCACCTTAACATCTTTTGAGGTTAACTACGCTATCTTCTCTATCGAAACTTTAAAAGGTTTAGAAATTTAGCCATTTCTTTGCTTAGGGGTATCATTGTTGTGACCGTTGTACTCTTCCAACGGTCGCATTCATCTTAATTAATCTTTATCTCACTCTTAATGAAGAGTATCTTTCTTAATTGATCTTTATCTCACTCTTAACGAAGAGTATTTTTCTTAATTGATGTTAATATTCTCCCCCTCGAAATATGGCATGAACTTTACTGCCATAATTTTGAGAACTATTCAGAAAGCTTGTGAACGAAGAGACACTTATAACTTACTTCATTCATATGATTATGTTATATAAACAAAGTTATTTCTTGATCCATTTAGGAGTACCCTTTCCTTATTTCACTTCAAGAACTCAACGAGGTCTTTCATTAGTAGTATTCTTGCAAGTCATGCTTGCATCTTTTCTTATCTTTTGGTTAGTATTGATCATGATAATGCATTTCTATTATGCCACGGTCAATACTAGGACAGCATTAAAGCTACACAAACTTCTCTCGTTATGTAGGATACAAAACATGTGAATCATCACAAAACTCCTCCCGTCATGCATGATTGATTAGCATAAGTACTATGCCAAACTTCTCCCCATGCGGGATATATCTATATGAAAACTAAGTCATGACGACTAAAATATTCACTTATACTTTATTTTCCAATTAAATCTTCCCGTTGGTTCCAATTTAATCAGAAAATTAGTAAGCTAACAAAAAGTTATCCTGAACTGACTTGACTTAAGCCTTTTCATTCACATATCCCAGCATTGCAGCCCATTGGCATGTAGCCGAGTGATCTCGTCGGTTAAATAAACAAGATGCTTCCGCATCAATTCTACATCACCGTTGGGCAGAAAATACAATTAATGTATAAAACTCATAAATCAACTTGAAATACATATAACTACTCTTCAAAATTAAATTCTCCCATTGGTTCGAATTTAATTAAAAGATAATGAACACTTCATCGCAGCGAAAACATGTTAATAAAATACATTCCATTAGTTCAGAAGCATTTTTGGTCTTTATCTACTCTTTGAAAAATTGACTACGTTGGTGTAAAATTTATCAGAGATTTAAACCTCAAACTTGAACTCATTATAATATTGTCATTATCAACGTTGGTCAGAAAATGACAATACCATAATCTGACTTAAATAAAACGGACTACTCCTCTAATCTAAATTTTTTCGTTGGTTCTAATTTAATTAGAGGATAAACATAATCATAATTTACTAAATATAACTGCTCTTCAAATTAAATTTTTCCGTTGGTTCGAATTTAATTAGAAGATAATCAACATTAAACTTTGCAGCGGAAACATGAAAAAATATTTATCTACTTTTCAGAAGCATTTTACTGTACTCATCTACTCTCTGAAAAAATTATCCCGTTGGTTCAAATTTTGACAGAGATTTAAACCTTCAAATTTGACTAAAATTCATCTAAAAATTGCTTCTGGAAAAATAAAACTAAATACAAGACTGTTACTATGCATTTTGGCCCGAAGGCCCAGCTCGTGCAGCGGCCCACGGCCACTCTCGCGCGATCGGCTTGCGCGCTGCACGCTGCCTCGACCTATCTCAGCATGGTGCTGGCCGCACAGGCCGCAACCTGGGCCTGGGCCTCACATTGCCCTTTGGGCCTTTCTCCCCGCCGCAAGCCCGACTAAGGTTGGGAGAATTCTCAGCCGCAGATCAAGATCGGACGGCCGAGCTTCATTTCCGAAGGAACAAAAACGGCGCATGGCCGGCTCCCCCAAAACCCTAAGACCATTTCTTCTTTCTCCTTCCGCTTTTCTCGTGACCACAGCCAGCCGCCAGCGATGCCAGACGACGGGACGAGCGCGAGGTGAAAAAGTTGGTGGCGCCGTCGTGGATCCCTTCGCCGGAGCTCGCGTGCGTCCGTCGCGCGGCTCTGTCGAATGGTCTCATGGCGGTGCCCTTAGGGTGAAGTCCGCGCACGCACGGGGATGAGCAGCGGTGTGGCTACTTTCTGTGGTAGCGGCGAGCTCGTGCGCGTGGCTGGGTTGTCTTCCCGCGGCGTCCAAAGGACAGTGGCGGTGGCGATCGGTGGCTCGGACACAGGTAAGTCCGCCGGTGCTCTTTTCTTTGCTAGGGTTAGGGTTTCTATTAGGGCCAATTCAATTCATTCTCTTTCTTGATTTCTTTTCACTTTTCTACCCCGATCTAGATCTACACACTAGAAAAACCATAGCTCTGGTACCATTGATGAATCTAAAAGTACTTCTAGGCGTAGATCAGTAGGTAATACTTAGCTTAGATGGGAGACTTGGTGATGTACCTCGCCATGGCGTGGCGCGACGCGCCTCTAGTGCCGCAGATGAGGTAGCAGCGTATTGGTCACTGGGGTCAGAGTCAGGGAAGCCGCACAGGCGTGGTCCAGTGGCGGCGACAAAGGCGATGACGCTTCTCGTCGCTTACAGCACGCCCTCTAGATCGGACTAGGGTTAGACTCGGTGGGGAACTAGCGGCTACAGTGAACCTTGTACCTCGAGCCCTAGCCCCCACCTCCTATTTATTACGCTGTGCGACGGGGGGCCATCAGCCAGAATAACGGCTGGGCGCCCCCGATCAGGGCGCGGATCAAGGGCCCAATTGACCGTTAGGCCAACTTGGTGGAGATCAACCTAACACCTCCTCCTAAATTAGGGGTATGTTTGGCAGCTTCATAGTTTTATTCACATGTAATTATCTTCCGGTTGTAATATCTTGTGCACAAGAATGCAATTGTAATTTGTTTCCTTTGCAAAATATTCGTTTTGGCAAATACGTGAGACAACCTTCTCTTCCACAAAAGAACTAGCCGCCGCTGCAGTTGGCAGGTCACGCAGCTCACTCATCCTCTGCAAGTGGGTGAAGAAACATATCGGATTCAAGGTCCAGGACTTGCAATTGTGACTTCAGAGTTTGGACTTGATAGAGCTAGCGTAGAAGCACTCGAATCAAATGCAGTTCATCCGAGTTCGTTGCGATCTGATGAGCAGAGATATCCAGGAAGAGGGAATGGAGACGATTGATCTGCTGAGCAGAGAGAGAGAGAGAGAGAGAGTGGAGATGATCTAGAGGCCATAGCGGAAGTGGGAGGACCAAGAGAGAAATCGTGCTCCAAGGAAGAGAAGAGATCGCCATGGACATGGCGAGATGCAATCGGGTGTGCAGCCATGCGGGAGACGACACTCGATATCCATCGTATTTTTTATTGGTGTCTAGATAGGTGATTTTTTTATTCCAGGTGGATCGGTCTAATACAAGGGTAAAATTAGTTGGTTCACAAGGCATCCAAACAACATTTTCTAGTTCAAGATGTAAAAATTTTCAAGCCTGTAATTTACACTGGTTTTTGATATAAAACCATGCTTCCAAACAACCTCTTAGGGGTATGTTTGGATTACTAGGGCTAGTTACTAATTGGGGTTCAAAATCAGATCAAATTAGCAAGCTAATAGTTAGATAACAACTTAGAACTCTTATTAGTCCTTCTATTTGGATAAGCTAGAGGTCTAGAGCTAATTTTAGGACTAAAACAGTATAGGTTATGATTCCGGCCAGATAAAAAAAGAAAAAAAAACTAGATCATCTAAGGTTTGTGTGTGAATTATCTTTGGAACGAAAAGCACAAGATTACAACTATGTGTGCGATTAATTGTAAATGGAAAAAAGAAAAACACACACATAAACGAGGAGTTGGTTTCGTTTTTGCGTGATGTTATATGATCGTTGAGCCTGGCAAGCTTATTAACCCACTCAATAGCTAATCACAAAAAAAAAAACACCCAACAACTACTCTACTATGCACTGTCGTTGTCTGATGGGCCCGGGCCCGAGCCCGAGCCCGACGATACTGGTTGCTGTTTGCACTTAGCAGCCCACCATGACGACGTACGGAACTCGCTTGTGCAATAAGTACGTAGTTGGTGCCAGCAAGCTGAGCCCGGCCGGGCGTGCGACATCAGTCACAGTCACGCCCGTCGTGCTTGTGCGTCCTTGTCCAAACCCCTCGACCGAAATTTTTTATTTCTCAGCTTTTTTTTTTTGAAAAATATTCACAAATAGATTCTTGGTGGTTTGATTTTCGTTTATAGATTCTGACATCGACATCATGATTTTTGGTGCCGAGAAAACACGTCTCGGCGTCATGACCAATGATGCCGAGGTCTTGACGAGATGTCGGATGTGACGATGACCTAACGCCGACGTGGATAAGGCTTCGGCGCCGTAGATTTTGACGCCGAGCTATTACCTTGGCGCTCTGGGGACGCCGGCTCCGCCACTCGAGGGCTCCAGGCCACGAGAGCAAGCGGCGGCGGCGGCACGCGCGACTCCGACTCCGACTCCGACTCCTCCCTCTCCCTCCCTGCCCCATCGCGTCACGCACGCCGCTCCTGCCCCGCGCGCCTCCCCGGGCTGCTGCGGCGGCGCTCCGGCCGAGGACTGATGCGCGGTTCTGTTGCAGGCTCTAAACCCCTCCGGTCTGGTGCGCAGCGGATTTGGCTCCAATGGGGAAGTCTCCGGCGAAGTGGATCAAGTTGGTGCTCTTCGGGAAGAAGAAGTCTTCGCGGTCCTGCTCCACCAAGGCCAACGATTTATCAGTGCGTTCTTCTTCTTCGGTAGTTTCAGAATGCTGTTAGGATTTCAATTTTCTGAGTGTGCCTCAAGTCGAGTTAAGGAGTAGGGATCTGTTATAGCAATTGATGCGAGTAACAAAGGGTATGCTGCTGCCGGGAAGGAGCCTGCATTCTCAGAGCACTCTCTGGTGATCTTGGAGCCCGTGCTTGTTAGCGCCCACAAAATGAGACTGTGCGGGAGGCGGCCAAGGTGAGAATTCCAGCGTGCAAGAAGTGCCCGTGACCGATGTCAGTCAAGACTTGTAGAAGTCTCTATATTCCAAAACTTGCATCTTTTTTATATAATCTTTTTTTTACAGAGGAAAACCCAGTTTTTATATAAGTTTTCATCTCTCAAATAATAACTAATCAGAAAACTGGTCTCAATTAATTTGGGAAAATGTTTTTGCAGATTTTGACGTTGATAATGGAGGCTATTCTTGAAAGACCAAATTATGAGTGCTTGCTGTTTGGTGTGTTCCCTGCTCTTAAAATTCCAGAGAAATTTATTGCTGCATTTATTTCATCATCTTGTGGTACAATCAAATAATGATGTTTTTCGTATTTCATTTTCAGATCTTGATGACACTTTCTATCCCTTAAGCGCTGGCATCAATCTATCTTGTCGCAAAAACATACAAGGTGGGTAATGATACTAATGTTTTTTTTACTGCTTCATGCTTCATGCATTTATAGACTGTTTTCTTGGAGCTCTATACGAGCACGGTTGCCATTTTGACACCAGAAAACCTTCAGGTATCACATATTTGTAAGATGAATAACAAACATACTTATTGCATAGATCTATTTGGATAGTAATTATTTGAGTTCTGGATATCTACTTTTATAGATGACACCACCACACAACAATGTTGTTGGTCATTTGGTCCTTATGGCAAGAAGGCCGTGAGACATAATTTTTGACAAAATTTAAGGCACTGTTTTTTTTTGCCATTTTTGTAGCGTGCTCTTAATTTTCTGTCTAATAGTCCTGTGTTAAGACCAAAAATTGACTTTTCAATTCTACATGGTGTTCTAATAGTCCTGTGTTAAGACCAAAAATTTCCATGATGTTCATTCTAACATCAGCTAAGATAGGCTAAGAGATGTTGTCATAGCGATTTTAATGTCAAAGAGGACCACGAGAGGCTGTGAGATGCTTAGACTTGTTTCTGAGAGGGTACAAACAACAAGTTGTTGCCTTCTGTTAAGGTACTCTCTTGGGTTAAATGATTGCATGTTTAGCTAATTTCCTTCGTTTGCTGGTTTAGGTCCCTTCATGTTTTTTTTTGCGGTTAGGTTCCTTCATAATTGTTTGAATGCCTTTCAAAAAAAAATCATGACACTGCGGATTCAGTTTTTATGATAGTACTTCCATTCTTGTACTTAGGTTCCTTCATGATTTTTTTTGTTTTCGATTTGGTTCCTTCATGATTGTTTGCATGCCTTTTAAAAAATCTGATACCGCGGATTCAATTTTTATGATAGTACTTCCATTCTTGTATTGTGCTAAATTCAGTTTTTGAATTTATGAAAGGGAATGCTACCAACATGGCACTTTTGAGAGGATGGAGGTTGGCGGTGAACGCCGTGGTGCTGGACTTGGAGAAAAGAAAACATATTCTATAATGGAATACATCAACCTCCTTGGTGGAACCTAACCGTGACCAGAAGATGGCTGTGATGAAATTGGTCAGATTAATGGCATGCTAGACGTGACCAGAACATGGCTGTAGCAAAAGGCCGACAATCTGTAATAACCATTAATCACGTATAATATATTGATTTAGATTTACCATATTTTTCAAATTCGTAATAATAGGTTGTTTACCAAGTTTGATGATTGAATGTTTAATATGTGTTACCTTAGATGTCGCCGTAGCATTAGCATGGGCAATATACTAGTAGTAGTGGTGGGAACTTCTTCTTTCTTCTTAGGCACATAAACTTCTTCAGAGGCGACCAGACTTCATCGAATCATCACTTTTCTTTGTGTACTACTTTGTCATAAGTCGGTCAAAACTCTAAGTGTTCAAGCATTTGTCTTTATACGAGAGCTCAGGCCAACAAAGTCAAATCAACAAAATATTTGTCAACTAAATATTTTTTAATCAGCGTCGTAGATCTTGGCGCTCGAGCTCGGCGCCAATTACTACGTCGCCAAGATATGGAAATTGCCAATTTCTAGATTGTTTTTAAGTATTTCTAGTAGCATTAAATGTAAAAATGGCCAAAACGGTATCTGTGGTGTAAAAACAGTTACTCTACAAGGCACCATGCTACACATTCCCACAAAACAAATGTTGCATTCAGTTGTATATATTGACATTATCAAGCGTAAAGCCACTGAGAGTCACTATGCTAAAATGTGTTTACAGCAAAACAAAAGCGATTATAATTACAAAAATATAGGCAAAGAAGTAAGGATCACAGGTGCTCCATCCAGGCCCTATTATATTCATTCATGCGCTAAAACAGGGGAATTCATTGCCACAGAACATCGCTAGTATCGGAACGTCGACACCTGAGCAGGCACGGCTGCCCCGCGCACGTGGCCTTGCCGAGGCGGTCTAGCTCGATCTAGCTAGCACTAGCAGCAAGGCCATGCATGTTGCTGGGTACTGCTGCAAGCGCGACTGACACGTCTGTACTCTCGCGCGCCTACAGGCCGGTGGATCGGAGTCGAGTTGAGTCATCGCCTTGGCGCAAGTAACTACAGCCCTGACCTCGGCGCTAAGACGAACGGCTTCGAGCTATCTACCAAATCATCGTCACGTTAGCGTCGAGGCTAAGAGCTTGACGTCAGCAACGATAGCGTCGAGCGGTATAAGCTCGGCACCAGCAATGATGACGCCGAGCTAAGGGTCCAGATTTTAAAATCTTACCTCGATGAGCATATTTGTGATTTTTTTTTAAAAAAAGGCTAAAAAATAAAAAAAACGGCCGCACGACAGTGTAAATATATAAGCCGACTTGGGCCCGTTCGTTTCGTTGAAAAAACAAGCCAAAACACTATTTCAACTGATTTGTTATGAGAGAAAATTAATGTTCCGGCTGGAAAAAAACATGCTAAAAAAGATGGATGGTAGGAGAAGTGAACAGTGTTTGACACCGCCAAAGAGAGCTTTTATAATTGCCTTGTCGGCTTCTGAGGAGAGGGGACGAGGGGCTCGTAATAAGCCACGTCACCCTGTCAGCTAGCTAGCGTGCAACTCGTTTGTCACCTACTGCGTGCGTGCTATACAGCTAGCAGCAGCTTGAAGAAGATGGCCAGTTTTATATTCAGTCGTAGTAATAAGTTTAAGTACAGTGCACACATGAGACATGACGCGCTGGCTTGTTCAGTTGTTCTACTACTACTACTAGCACAAGAGTTCAGTTCGCGAGATCCGAGTTCAGATGCCCTCCGAGCTCCGGTTTCTGGTGGCCTCTACGGTGAGCCCACGATTGAGTCTGGCCCTGGATCCACCTCATCGTCTGCCCCTCCCTCGTAATGGTTCAGCCCATTGGACTCCCTCTTAACGGTTCCTTTGCTCGTTAGAGACTGGAAAGCGATGGCCCATTCCTTTTGGTTTCTGGCAAATTAGCCTAGCCCAATTGTTTTCTGCAGCTTTAACTGAGCCCACGGTTGCAACTGTCCTCTGGGCCTGTGAGAATTGCCTGAGACTGATCCTTTTCCCGCTTCTCTGTTGTCTGTATACCCTCCAACAAAATTATATCTAAAAAAAAAAGATATGGTATTGCCAGGCACGTCTCTACCTAGAATGTGTTAAAACTTCACTTTTTTTTATCACATTTTGTTCTAAGTAAGTGGGAGAAACCCTTTTCTCTGTAAAAAGTACAAAAATATGGTAGATTTTTCACTTTAAAGTGTAGTTTAGATGTCTCCTGTTCTTGTGTTTGGCAACTCTGTACAAAATTTGGTATAGCTTAATTAGTTATTAATTAATTTGTTGTTTTATGACGTAATGATCAAACTACGCTCTATCTACTTCTTGCTTTTATACTTTGAACACCAATTCCATACATTTGTAATCAATCACTAGGGTACCGTCCTAGCGATGATAAAATTTGATTTGTTTGATATATACATTCCCACACTTCCCACACTGCTTTGAAATATATGATGTTTAAGATAAAACTAAACTAGTTAGGAACGTTCTTGGTGGTATGTTTGCTGAGTGTACGCTAGACGTAAACGTTGTCTAAGGCAGCAGTGCATGCTGACCTGTTTTGTTCTTTTCGGCAACCCAACCCAACCCAACCCAATGCATCAGTAGCTTAGGGTGCAAAACAAGAAGGACAATGTTTTGTTCTTTGCTAGGTATCTAGATATAAAGTATGTCTAGATACATAGCAAAATCAATATATTAAAAAAGTCAAAGTGACTTATAGTTTGAAAGAGATGGAGTACTAAATATGGTATTTTTAAGCATGTGTAGCTAGAATAAGTTTAAAATTTCACTTTTTATTAATTTTGTTCTAAGTAAGCAGGAGAAACCTTTTCTTTGTAAAAAGCATAAAATATGGTATTTGAGATATTTTTCACTTTATGTGTGGAGTTTTTTTTTGAAAGGAACAGGAGGGGCTTGAGCCCCTACAAAATTGAATTAAAATAAAAGCAAAGTTCAGTACACAAGTGTGGAGTTTATATGTCTCCTATTCTGGTTTAAGGCAACTACACACAAAGTTTGGTATTGCTTAATTAGTTTGGTAGTTTTAGGACGTAATAATCAAATTGTGCTCTATTTATTCCTTGCTTTTATACTTCGAACAACAAATCTATACATTTGTAATCAATCACTAGGGCTTGCTAGGTACCGTCCTAGCTAGCGATAAAATTTAGTTTGAACAACATATCTATACATTTTTAAGATAAAACAAATTAACTAGGAACGTTCTTGGCTAGCGTATGTCCTGAGTGTACCCTAGACGTAAACCTGTTTTGTTCTTGACATATATATTCCCACACTGCATTGAAATATATGATGTTTAAGATAAAACTAAAATAACTAAGAACGTTCTTGGCGCGCGGTATGTTGCTGAGTACCCTAGACGTAAACCTGTTTTGTTCATGGCGGTAACGTTCTAAGGCCGGTAGTGCATGCTGAGCTGTTTTGTTCTTTTCGGCAACCCAACCCAACCCAATTAATGCAGTAGGGTGCGTGCAAAAACAAAGCAGGGTGTTGAGTCAAGTGACATCACACGCACGCTCTTTCTCTTTCACGCACGGCCATCAACTATTTGTCCCGTGTCAACTGTCATTTTGTTTGATGGATCGGACATTATTCTTTGGACTCTCATCTTTGTCGACCTTCACTTGATCTCTTCTGCAGACCAACCATTTGCTCTGTTGTTTATTTTTATATAATATTGATAATAACCTTTTGGACCGCTTGATGAAGCCATCATCCAACCACTAGAAAAAAATGCAACAGCTAGCTAACACGGTAGAGTTAAAATAAATCTACCAATGCAACATGCTCCGATCCATCAGAGATTAAATATATAATTTATGTCGACAGCTACTAGTTAGCTAGCACAAACCATTCTTTGAACCAATAAAGCTACATACTTAATTAGTACTAGAAACTTAACAATATGCAGTTTTGTAGCTAGCACAAACCTTAATTTCTTAATTCGAACCAAGAAGCTACCTAGCTAGTACTAAAAGCTTAACGCTACCGAGTACTCCCTCTATCAAAAAAAAAAAAAATTATGGTACCGTGCCAGTCAATTGAGCTCAGGTTTAACTAAATTTATAGTAAATAATATTAACATTTATATCTTTAAATAAAATTTATTATGAAAATATATTCTATAAATAATCTTATGTACTTATTTTTGTATCAAAAATATTTATATTTTTTATATAAATTTTAGTCAAAGTTTAGACCGTTTGACTCCTCGAAATACGAGAAATACATTTTTTTGACAGAGGTAGGAGTTTTCTCGATTTATGTGAAAAGATCTTTTCTTAAACCGGAATACACGGGCTATCTAGCCATCGTAGATCGAGGTTTTTTTTAAAGTATATTCGTACGGATGCCGACGACGTCGATGTTATTTCGTTCGAAACGAATTGTTGTATCCCGTGCATAGGCAGTAATCATCCTATCTATCTACCGTCTACGTCACCGACAAGCGAGTAGTACAAAGCAGCTGTAGCGTAGTACATAGCTGGGTAGGCAACGTCACGGGCTAATGGACAAGAAGGCAACAACGCGAGGGAAATGGTAAATCATGTGGTTTAGCTAGCTAGCAGCCACAACTGTCCACTTGCTTGTTGGCCCCATCCATATACTTATATCTCAGGTCCTTCTTCAAATGAGTCATCATCATCAGTTTGCAATATAGGAACATTTACGTCAACATCTGTGACAAGGATGTGTGAGTACAATATATACGTGCATCTTTTCTGAGTCCAAATATATATGCTCTTCTTTTGAGGGAAAATAATAAAAAAGATAAGGAACCTTTTTCGAGTACGACAGCAGAAGACATATATGTAATGTGTGTATGAAGAATTTTTGGATGTGAAATATGTATTGGAAGATGCAAAAAGCTAGAACAATTTCCTTTACTGAAAAAATATATGAAGATTCAGATTTACCATGAATTAATTTTAG